CAAAATTGAGGAATCGTACGACCATCCTAGATCTTGAACGTCATTGTCATGGCCGATCAACCTCCGTATCGTGCGCCAATTCTCCACAGGCGGCGCCTCATTCGACCCTAGCATTTTTGAAGATAACACCGGTTAGCCAGCTCCCTTCCCACGGTCAAAATAAGCCAGCACCTACCGAACGTCGACGCATGTGAAGGAGGATTCGCATCCAGCGTATAGATACAGACTATCTTATCGTCCGCACCCGACGCCAGGTACTTCCCATTGGGCGAGAATCGAACCGTATGAATCGTGCCCGAGTGGTTGCTCATCGACGCAAGCTGCTTGGGCTTGTTCGCATACTCGGGGTTTCCCGTATTATAGATCGCTTCCGTAGACCATATTCGAACGTATCCGTCTGCACCCAGGGTAGAAGGGCTTATATCAGCAACTATCCCAAATTCGTGTCCATACGGCTTGGCCCATAGATTGGTCTGGGAATTTCTCACCTCCAGCTGCTGTGACCAAACGGCTTCCGTCCGGAGAGATATCGCAAGCGTAAACCTCGAAGTCTTTTCTCTCCCCTATACATGCAAGAAACAGTATTAGCACAGGTTTAGTAGCCAGGTCTCGATCTCCGAAGTAAAGACGTGCGGTTCATGGTATCACAAAGCGCCAACAAAAAAAAGGAAGACAAAATGCACCTCCATGGGTCAGCCAAACCGGCTTAAAGATATGCATCGCAACAACTGCGGTTTTCGCTCTCGCACTTCAATGATGTTTCTGTTTCCGCGTAGGACCGCTATGTTCGGGCTGGGCTCCTAGTAGGCTGACGTGGATGCAGGACTATGGTTTATCTGGACCATCGCAGAGAAACGGCGCTGAGGCTCACCCGATGATGAATTATTATTATTGAACGAATGACAGAAGAAACAAGGCCCAGAAGTACTTGCTGACTGGAATAAAGCTTCAGGTTGAGCAAAAGGGATGCACCAGTCAGTTGCCTTGAAATATGTCTGGAGATTAATCTAAGAATACGACAACGCGAACAAAGGAGGACCGATTAGCCTTGTCGCGATCTCCAGGCGCGGGTGTCGGATGGTCCGAGCTTCCACATATTCTCCGCCTGCAGGGACTATCCGTATATTTGTCTTGACAATGGACTGCGTATCTTGCATTGAAGGCATTGATGGTGAGATATAAGAGGCTAAATGTTATTTTTGCCTCCACCTTACTATCGGGGTACTGTACATTATACACAGAAGGAGAGAAAGGATAAGTGAAGGAAAATCAGCTAATGCCAACCAACACTCGACGGCAACTTTTGTTCTTCGTCACGGTGGCTCCCTGCCTGCACTCCTGAGAACATGCTAGATAATGTTGAGAAGTAGAATCATGGTTGCAAAAGACGAGAGGTCATAAGGTACAGGTTGTCACGAGATATTATCGTACACCAACAGATCATTTCAGCTGGACGGAATCATCGAGGGAGATGCCTTTAGCGGAATGGAACGCCCGAAGCCTGGAGGATTGTGCCAAGAGGTTATTAAGAAGAGTCATCTTCAATTAGAGTCCTCTATCTTCTCTGTTGGCTCGCTTGGTCAAATCCTTCCAAGACACTATCAGCGACATTCTCAACCTTGTCAGTCTCGGACTCAACCTGACGCTCCGGCTCAGAAGTGTGCTTTTCTGTCTTTTGTTGATTTGAGGACTCAATCTGAGCAGGCTCCTGCACTCCAAGGGCCTTTGCGGCAATGGAGCGCGCCTGGCTCTCGTTGACCTTGCCATAGACGGCCATGGCATTCGCAATCATTCCACCAAGGTCGCCAACATTGCCAGGAACAACGACGGCAGTCCCTTCACGGGCAAGATTCGAGAAGGCCTCGACGTACTTCTCTGCGACACTGAGGCTGACGGCGCTGTGCGCATTCTCACTGCCTTCTGCAATGGCCTTAGCAACGGCCTCGATACCTCTGGCTGTCGCCTGTGCCTTGAGCATAATCGCCTCTGCCTCACCAGCAGCACGGTTGATCTTCTCAGCCCGCAGAGCCTCGGATGCAAGAATGACGGACTGCTTCCGACCCTCCGCGATGTTGATCGCACTCTGTCGCTGACCCTCAGATTCGAGGATCTCCGCACGCTTCGACCGCTCTGCCGTCACCTGACGGTGCATCGCTGCAACAACGCCTTCCGGAGCATGAATATCCCGAATCTCGTAACGCAGACAGACCACACCCCAGTCCTGGGCTGCCTCGTTGATAGCCTGCGTAATATTGGTATTTAACGTGGCACGTTCCTTCAAAACGTGGTCTAGCGTGAGCTGACCAATCTCCGAGCGCATAGTTGTCTGTGCTAGTTGGGAAATGGCATATTCGGCATCCTCAACGCCGTAACTGATCGGCAATCGAAACGAGTCAGCTTGCTTGTCTTAGGTATCAGATCTCCTCGCGCGACCTGCTGTCTCCTTCCCCCTGAAAGACTCACCTTGCCTTGTAGGCATCAAATACCCTCGTATATAGCACGCCATCCAGCTCCAAGGTAACATTATCCGCGGTAATGGCATTCTGGCTCGGTATCTCAATGGCAGACTCCTTCAAGCTCTTAACGTATGCGATCCGATCGATAAAGGGGATCAGAATTGCCAATCCAGGCTCTAAAATCCGATGGAACTTGCCCATCCGCTCAACGATCCATGCGGTCTGCTGAGGGACGAATCGAATGACGGTGTTCATGGGAAGCGGGGAGCGATTTGAAAAGTAGCTCGCGGGTGCACCGCCAGGCAACGAACCAGGTCCGAAGCCTAGCAGTGATGATTCTGGCGCAGTCCGTCGAGGTGTTGAGGAGACATTTCGCCGTCGAACGGTATTCAGGGTGTTGGAAGGTATGATGAGAGTGCCAGAAAGACAAGGGTTCTGAAGGGCCACGCGGTTAGAACCGCGCATGGAAGACCGAAGCAGTCTCGATGACTGCCTGGACGTCACTTCCATCATGAGGGATGAATTACGAGAAATAGCCGAAGGACGTGTGGAACGAACTTGGGAGTATTTAGGACAAGTTTGACCTGACAAGCTCTCGTGGGGAGAAGCTCGGGTGCAGCTGGCTACTGCGATCGTCACTCCGATTTGATGGCCTGAGGCAGAAGGCCGTGCTGAGTCACCGCCTACCTCCTACCATTTCCTGTTTAGGAAATTAATCGACCTTCCACTTCACTTGAGCATGTTGTCTATAACCTCAATAGCGACGACGAGGAGAGTACGAGCAAGACTTTACGTATAATCATCGTGTTTCGGAGATCCCCATCAGGCACTCCGACTCACTTTCTGAGAAGTCGATCAGAACTCCGAGTAGTGCTCATGAACGCAATTCACTAATACGGAAACATACTCATGGCACGATTGAAGGTATGGTCAGGAAATTTTGTCTATTCAGTTCTGAATGGATACTCCCTTTTCCAAGGAAGAATGAACACGTTCCGAGAAACAAAAATCAACAATTACCCGTATTATGCACGCCGCATTACTCTCACAGTAAGAGAACTGACAAACCCATTTTATGCAAAATAGAAGGATGGATGACAGGGTAAGACGAAGTTAGAGAAAAGCTGCAGCACTCCAGAAGGCACCATGAAAGCAGATGGAGAGATCTTGCTCTGGGGTCGTCCTAGGGCGCATGGAAGGGGAATCCGTACGGTGCTTCCCGGTTTCTCCTGTGCACAGTCGATTATTGCTCGTTTCAAAGTTGAGGTTTCTTTTTTGCATTTTCCATCCATTCGTACACAGACTCGCATGCTGGATAAGGGACAGGTTACCGCAGTGGAGAGAGAAAGCAGAGAGAAAGAAAAAGAAAAACAAAAGGTTGTCGAAGTAAACTCTATGGCCGTGGGAAATCGCTTAGGCTCGGCGCACCGCAAGCAAGCATCAGACACAGGTGATATTGCCCAGTAAATCATGCCCGGACTCCGAAAAGTTTTTTAACCCTCCCATGACTGAAGCAAAAAGAAGAGGAGCGTCGGAATAAGAAAGACAAAGCGACGAGATGCCGAATAATATGTATCCATCTCGTCTTGAAAATTGATTAGCGAGAACTCGCCACAAAAAAAGGTAAATGTAGAAGCTGAGATGTAGTGATGCAAGTCATGATAGAGAAGCACGAAGAAAAAGTTAAGGACGGGAGAAGCAAAAGGAAGAATAACAAAATCACTTTTCCAGCTCGGCTCTCAAGCTAGCATCGAGAAGGCTGTCGATTTTCAGGCGATTTCTTGCGTCGCAAGCTTGACTATGCCAGGCCGAACGTAGAGTGTCGAAAGCCATGTGCCCACTCAGGTGGCTGGACAATTCCCTCCTACATGAAACAAGGAGGCCTTCGGCCACCTCATGAGGGAGGATCTTTTGCTCGACAAAAAAGCACCATAAAACCGGACGAGCCTGTTGAACCCGCTGCTGGCGTTTCGGGAAGAGAGATCATCAAGCGCTAGACTCTTAAATTCATTGTACATTTGTGCATTGAAATTTGGAACCAAGAAATGTGACCAGAATTGGTACAGGACATCCATCTCGCGGTCATCAACTTGATTGGGCGTTAGTTTTTGTTCGTAAAGAACTCGTTTTCGAAAAACACTGCAAGGTTCGTGGAGACTAAATCATCGGAGGACAGCAGGAAACTGGGTTGAATATGTTGTTTTCCATCCCAGTGTCGACGAGGATCTTTTGAAGACTATCGTGTGCCGTATCACTCACGAGTTGACTACTTCGCCATTAGTACGACGAGGAGCGGGAGAAGACGCCACTGGAAGCACGAGAGGTGAAGTATACCTAATGTCATTTTCCGTCGAAACAGTGGGACGAGGGAGGGATGATTCTCTAAAGGGAGCTAGTCCGCCCGCTGTCCTAGGAGTGTTAACAGATCCGTTGAACAAGGGAGAAAATTTGTCAAGAAGCTGAGGCCGTGCTGCGCAAGAGAGCTTTGGCCTGCGCACCATGACCATCAACTTCTCAACTTTATCATCTGAGAAGGGACGGTCATTAAATGGAGACCCTTACATTTGCGATTTCAGTCTGGGTAATCACTGGATTCGATGGCGAGAATTCCGGCGCGGTAGAAGATAATGAGGTCTTCAAGACCTGGGACTCGGTGCTACCGTTCGGCAGACCATTTGTTGTTTCGTGGACGTGGTTCTGCTCATCAAACTTTCCGGCATCGGCTGACAGGGATGGGCCCTCATTCTGAGCGGAAGGATCGCGCTGCTCGACGGGAAGAACCCATTGCTCCCATTTTTCTCTTGGTCGCAACCGGTCAATGCCATCCTCGCCGGTCTGATACTCAACGTTTCTCACTTGGCGGCAGGCATGGCGCAGCATTTCGAAATCTTCGGTGAGAGTCTTGACGCGTTTGAAACTAGCAATGACGGACAGTGGCACAAAGCCCTGAGAGTCCATTTGCTTGCGGAGGAATAGATCTTTGCAAAGATTGTCGACAGAAAAGTAATATTCCCTGTCAGAATCAATATCTGCCGCTAATCACAAGAGCAACACGGTAAAAATCTAAGGCACAACTTACAATTGCATCGAGATCATGCTCATGAGAGAGAACGGTTCCATGTACGGTTGATAAGGGACCGCAGTCATTGGGCCAGCCGGTATCGGTTGATAACCGTACATAGTGTTGATATCGGCGGGGAACGGATAAACGCCATACATAGAAGCAGAGTTCGGTAGAGAAGGCGACCTCAGAGACATTCTATGTCCTTGTTGAGCGCCGTTGGGAAGGCCATGATGAGATCGCTGACGCTCATTAAATCCGAAGGACTTGGGATGGACGAAAGAGTGGTGCGCCATATGATTGTTAGGGAACTGCGAGTTTTGCGAGCCGGTGAAGCCAGAATGTCCTCCACGTCCGCGGTGAGAGCCCCGGCCTCTGTCAGCACGGGATTCGCGAGAGAAGTCCTTGTCTTTGCGATCTCCGGGGAAACCTGCGAGGTCCGCTGACTTCGGCCCATTCTCGAAGCGGCGGTCGTGAGTGGAGCTAGCGCGAGGGCCAGTGTGCGCGTCGGTTGAGGGATGTGAGCTCTTTGAGGTGCCATCACCGCCCTTGTGGGCTGCATCGTGATTTCTCGCGAAAGGCTTGGCATCGCCACGGTGTCGTTGTGGGAGATTCTCATTCCCACCACCTTGTCTTCCAGCCGGCAATCCATTCACATTTTCAGTTCCCTTAGGTGCACGGTTTCGGTCAGCAGCTTGGGTGCCTTTGCGGGAATCCGCCAGTCCAGCGTCAACGCTGTTAGAGCGCTTGGAAGGGGCGGGTAGAGAGTTTGCGCGAGCGGAGTTGAGCTCATTCCTTCCCCTGTCTCCAACGCCATTCTGTTTAGCAGTAGAACCTTGGGCTGTCTGTCCCGAGGCTGCCTTATCAGCACCAGGCGTACCATGAGTGGCATTGCGAGCTCCATCCCTTCCTACTCGCCCAGCTCTTCCACCCCTGCGCGCAGAGGATGGCAAAGGCGTGTTGAAGACAGCGGTTGGTACATAAGGAACGGGCATCCATTTCTCCTTGCCGTGCGGCCGAATGACAGGGCTCTTCTCAGTCTTCTCCTGAGCCTTTCTCTTCTCTTCCCCTTGTGCGACTTGAGGTGTAGGCCACGAAGAGGCATCGCCCACAGGTGGGATGGAAACATCTACAGAATCACGATTAGCATGCCAATTTTGGGACTAAAGCGGGCTCGCCCTCCGGAAATTCAGAATTCCATAGCGATTACATTCGTGATAAATAACCACGAATGACCGGATCTTAGACTTACTCTCATCCCGTCCCTTGCCTCCGTCGGCCCTCTTTTTGTCCTTGGGACCATCGGATGCAGCGTCCGTTCCCTTCTTCTTAGGGGCGGTTTTCGGCAGCTCCTGATGGTTATCGACTGATGTCGAGGAGGCGACAGATGCGGTTTTCGATGTACTGGATTTAGCAGATGGAGCGGACTTGAGTGCCGCAGTGGCTTTAGCCTTAGCTTCCTGAGCTTCCTTTCGTTGCTGCCAAACGTTAACTGCAGGTAAGGGTGCTGCTTTCAGCTCCTTCAGAGGGACTTTCTTGTCCTTGTCGGAAGCATTAGATTTATCCTTGGCCTCCTGGGCGTTGCCCTGCTTATCTGTTCCTGAAGCTTGGGACTGCTTATCCCAGTTGGACTCGGAAGTGCCATTGGGTGTATTCGACCCCTCTTCTTCCTTTGGTGCTGTGGACGTGGAAGAAGGACCCACGCTAGGCGAGGACGTCCCGGAAACATTGGTCTTAGAAGGAGCGGTTGCTGTGCTCTCCGAGTCCTTGTCGGTACTGGCAGCGGCCTTCTCTGTTTCTTGAGATGTCTCTGCCGTGGGAGCCGTGGTCTCTAGCTCCATCTGCACACTCGAGTTTGTGCTCTGCTCATCTGCCTTGAGAGCTGGCTTATTCGGCTCTGTAGAGGCCGGGTTTGCCGCCGATGGCGTCGCAATGACACCCTTGGCTGCTTGAGCGTAAGAAAATGTAGCAGCCATTTCTACTTTCGAAATTCGAAAGAAAAGTAAAGAATAAGAAATAGATGTCGGAAGAATGGCAGCTATTTCTTTGCTCTGCGATAAAATGTGAAGTCTTCCTCTTGTGTTCTGCCAGAGAACAGGTGCCTTCGTTGGAAAGCTCCGATGAAAGAGAAAATGTGTGCGCCGATTCAAGGCGAGAAAGCTTCAACACGGACGACAGTCAGAATATTCAGACTTCTGCCCTCTTGCTACCCCGTCGAACTGCAACTTCCCGGTACTGGATCACTCCAACCTCAGCTGCAGCCTGTAGACGTTGTCCGGTAAACAGATCTCGGTGAGACACCCCTAGCCGGCGATAGTGTAGAACGTTAATCTCGGTAGGAAGGATTTATCACGCGTGGACCATCGATGGAATCGTCGAGAGCGGTTTCGTTGCGGTGATAGCTAAAGGACGTCCTATTGAGAATGGATGTTGAAAATGTTGTCTTGATGACGAGGACTGCGAAAGGAATTTTGAAGACGAATTCAAAAATATCCCACGACAATCATGGAAAGGTCTCGTAGCGATCCAATGTATTCGACCTCAAACGAGCGGGGACCTTGATTGTTCTTTCTTATTTTCTGTTACGCGTAATTCCTGCTTCGAGATCCAATCCGTCCGTAGAGCCAACTGTGCGTTCAAACGTTCTCTTCAAGCAGTCGGATGATACGAATGCGAATCGAAATCTAGTCTGACAGCACGGCACGTTGGTTTTCGAAGAGGGAAAGTCCGGTGTTGTTCCTGGTGTAGCGAAGCCGAAAAGCGCGACTTGCACGTGGCGGAGACGACAACGCAGTGAGATTCCTAAGGCCTACTGGACTCGAAGAATGAGACAACAGCAGCTTCAAATAGGGTCTCGGATGGACAATGCCAAACAAGATAACTGGAAAGTAACGGGAAAAAAAAGTTGTGTTGATTCAACCGATCGATATGCCCTTGCCCGCAGGATTGTGGGAAGGAGGAATTCGGAAGAATGGGAGAGTCGCACTGACGGATAGCACGAGCTCAAACAGCAACACGGACGCCAAGAGGGCGACAAGAAAAAAGATGAGAGTGGAGGGAACTGAAGAAATTAAGACGTCCCAGGATGATGTGAGGGGAAGAGAGGGGGAGAGGGGGGTAAGAAGACAACGAGAGAGAAAGAGAAGGGAAATAAGAAGGGAAAGGGAAAATGAAAAAGTAGTAATAATACTGCCAATAGCGGAGGGATGTGGAAGAGCCGAAGACTGAGAGCGAGAGTACTAGGTAGGTAGTAGTAAGGAAAAAAGACAGAACCCAATTCGTTATTGTGGAATCCGCAAGTGCAGAGGGAAAAAAAGAGGGTACGGGTAAAGGAAAAAAAAAAGGTTCAGTGTCTTTTTTTTTTTCGCGTCTAAGCCTAAAGCTCTTAGGCTTTCATCGGCCTGTACGGAGTAGAAATCAAAATAATCCCATTAAATCAAAGGTTCCTCCCGGCTGCCGTACGCCCGTCAGGAAGAGTGGGAGGTTTTTAGTGGACTTCAGGGCTTCTGTGGGTATTTCTGATATTTTTATTACTACCTTACCTTATGATCCTGGCCTAGCACAGGTCGAGTATACTCACCAATTCATCCATATATACTCTTGTAGTTCTATGTAATCTACCTGAGGTTTTTATTCCATTTGTATTGCGTTGCATATAGTGCGCTGGAGGGGAAGGATCCTCTCGGCCTGAAGCCTGACGTTATACATGATTACCTCAACCTCAAAAGTACTAAGGTACCACACTGGTTTCTGATAGCTAATACAGCCCCTCTACCCCTCCTTTGCAAAATTAAATAAATACAACAACAGCATTGTTTTACAATCATAAGACCTTCTGAGGATTAGGTATCAATAATGTCCAATAGATAAATGAGGTGTTGTTGGCAGGCACCGAGGCTATACGTCAATCCCTTTACTATCGTCCACAATTCCATGTCAGGTACTCTTTGGAATCTGAGGACCTTAAAGATCTCCAGGTACATTTCCCTTTCAACTTCTACGTCCATCCAATCATCCAAAGCACAGTCAAACACCAAGTAACATCCTCCCTTACGTCTATCTCGCAGCGCCAACATACCTTCGTATCCGAAAATAGATCGAGGGTAGACGAGGTATACAACAACAAGAAGAAGAAGAAGAAGAATCAAGTTGTGGCTCTACTGGAACTGTAGGACCGTGAGTTCTGTTGCATTATAAGTCCAATCTGGTAGATAACCTCCAAAATACAGAAATGAATTTTCTGTTTCTCCCTGAAGTTCTACAGAGAGTCATATACTACACAACTCTCATTTCACCTGTTGTGAAAAGTAACGCATTGCAACGATACTTCCAAGCCTTCATTCCATTCAAGGGTATCCTGCAAAATAGCACATCCATCTAACTTTACTGGCCCTTACAAGAATAATTCACAAGATACCGATGAAGATGACAGTTTCCTCAATCGTTAATACCTCTCGACTCTGGAGGCCTCCAGAAGCCAGATGGGGTGATATACTAGGTATGTATCGGTGGGGTCATCTGTTGGTGTGTATGGTCATTGTTTTACACGGGATAGCTCCCAGCAGAAACAATGTGCTGCGAAATCATTATCTATGCTCACTAGGCTTTGAATGAGCACATAACTACTTCTCTGTCCCATCTTCGGTACTGCTCCCTAGATAATATACACATGCCTCCCTGGTCTTCAGGTGTAGGATCAAATTTCCTGGCTTGGGTAACTGCCAGAGGTTGATGAACCGGGCCGTCTTGCAGAGCAGTTCGACTCATCCATCAGACTGCAAGCATACTCCGTCCAATGTGTATTTCATGCGCAGCCTTTCTCTTCTACGGGGTATCGCTGCAGGGCAGGTCGACTGACAGTTACATAATGAGACGCTTCCATTCCTTCTGTGTAATAATACACATGCAATCTTCAATCTCACGTGAGACACAGAATTATGGCATTCCGGCATGTGCCGTGGGGGAGATTCGATGATGGCTTGGATGAAATTGCGGTAGACCTATTCCTAATTCCTACTAGTCACATCATGGATTTGTTCGAGAAGAACGTGGACGGGTTGATTCTGTAACCTGTAACGCCGCTAACGGATACATGGCAAAGTAGTCGCTTAGCTCTTAGCAGCCCGCATGGTTCGTTGCCATTAGGGCTGAGCCTGCATCATGCTGCCGAGCATCACCAACAACCCGTGGGGTGAATGATGTCGGAATTCTTCGGGGTCTCAGTGTCCCCGTGTAGTAGTAGTTTTATATATCCAAGACCCAGAGCCCAAGCCCGTTAATGCAGCTTGCTTATTTCAGACGGGCAGACAAACTAAAATACGCTACGGTGGTGGAATACCATTTTATCTCACGTGAGACCATCAGGGTCCTGACACTGAGGGTAGGCAGATTTAAGAGACTGCTGGGATCACTTCAAATGTCAAGAGAGCGAGTTCCGTGAAAATAATTATTAAAGATCTGTGTGAGGTGCAATTATAGCTGAAGAGCCGAGGATCTCAAGTCCGTTCTCGAAGGTACCACTGCTCACCAATGCCTTACACTCACCAGCACCTGTTCCCTGGGATCTAGTTCAATCGAAGACTGTTGAGAAGTCACCATGCCCAAGCGTGTGAGGACCTGCCACACAAGCTTACGCTTGAGACCTTCGCGTACGGGGATCTTCTCAAGCGCGTCAAGCCCATTGAAATACTTGATATAGGCCGGCCATAGATACTTCATTGGAGTGCTCAGGCCCGCATACTCAGGGTCTATCTCACCTCCAGCGCCATTCGATCCTTCCCCCGGGCGATGACGGCCCACGGACCGAGGGCGCTCAGGAAACCGGGAGACAATCTGTTCCAGCCACCGTGACTCCAACGGTGAGGCGCGATGAGGGAACAGGATCAAAGATGACGTTCTCAGCGACGTGTTTCGATCTAGCATGGAATGTGAGAGACGAAGATCGCTCTCCGGCTGGTAATGCCCAGGCATTGGCGTCTCTTCCCCGCTACCCTGGCTTGCCAGCGATGACGACGAGGACGAGCTAGCATCGTCGTTCTCATCCGCCTCGTTCCCACCTTCGCCGCCGGCAGGCTTCTGCGCCTCCAAAGATCTGCCTTTCCGCAGATATTTGTCCACTTCTTCACGACGAAGAGCAACTTCTACGGCCATCTTTATCTCCGGAGTGACTTTGACCCTTGCAAATGATCGAAGTTGGGTCACCCAACCCCCTCTTAGCAGCCACGCTAAGATAGCAAAATATGTCTCCTTATGGTCTTTGCTCGGGATAAAACTTCCATATGGTCTGGGTGTCCCGCTCAGGGCAGAAAGCATCTTGGGCAAGCTGGGTAGGGTTGGAAATGCTGCTTGATAGGCAGCAGTGGCTATTTCCAGCTTGCTCAAGTCACAGTTCGGAGATACAATATACGTATCACGTTGGTGAATTGGGGGTATGGCGCGTGCACGTCGCCAGTAAACAAGATGACTGGCCAGCATCTGTATGGTCGAGAGGGGTATACCGGACGACGCGGATATCTGCACAAACGATTTCGTTGGCTTGGAGCACCGAAGATAGTGAGCAAGAGCAGGTGCCAGGGCACCTCCGGACGCTTCGACGTCCTTGAGAATAGCCGCCTCGTTGTCCAGCAACAACAGCGCAAAGTGTTTGGCTAGCACCTGATGCGGTGCGGTATTTTCATTGGCAGTAGGGTCCTCCACCGGGGTGACACTGTCTGCAGTGGTGAGCCAGAGACCCGGATATGCTTTATCTGTTGGTCCAGGCAGATAAGGTGTTGAGGTCAGAGGAGGTATCTGAAGCGATATGGAAACATCCGGACTCAGCGGAACAGATGCAATTTTGGATGCGGATATGCTGGTGTGGACGGTGTAGATGGCCCTAGCGAGCGACGATTGATTGATCAACTCCGTGTAAAGGGTGTTGAGGGAGGTTCCTGCATGAAAAGCATCAGCATTCGGACCTCTCAGAGAACATTCTTGA